ATATATTGCCGACCTGGATGGCCAAGGTGGCTAGAACGTGGGCCGACTCAACGCCCCGGTTGGAAGAGTCACGTATTCGAGTCCCGCCATTGGCACGGTTGCTTGTTTGTAATGTATGTATGTCGTGTCGGAAGGCCTTGTGAGTCTTCTGAGAGACTGAGGAGCCTGCAGTGTGTCAGGGTCTAGTATAAAGGTCAAAATGTGAGGGAAATAGTGGGAACCCGGCGCGGATAATCAAAAATCAATATTCCCAGAAGCTGGAAAAAGCCCCCGATAGAAAAAAAAATTCAACACGTTGGTGAGACATGCTAGGTAGTGGGCGACGCGCCTTAATGCGTTCGCCAGACGCAACGCGCATTTCATTCAGGGAACGCTCGGCTCCTGAGTCATATTCCCGCGGCGACGTGTGCAAAATGCTCGCCTGACTTTCCCCGGCGCGCGGAGTCACCGTTTTGTGTTGTGGTGTGGTGTGCGGGGCAGGGCGGCACCAGGGCGCGGCGCCGGCCACCGCCCGGGCGAGGGTCCACTCGGCGCGGCCCGGGCAGCGGGCGCGCGCCAGGGCGCAGGCAGTCACCGCCGCTGTCGCCGCCGCGGCCGCCAGGGCGCACCAGGCACGCAAGGCCGCGGGCCGCAGCGCCGGGCAGGTGAACGCATGCGCGAGTACGGTGATTTATGGCGCGAGGTTCTGAGCGCGTCGTTTGCTACGGTAGTTAGTCATCTAAGTGTAGTACTTGTTTAATTTCGGGTGGTATGTGTGTTCTCCGGATGGATTGGGAAATCCGGCGATGACTTAAACGTCGACTTACGGTGGTTTCCCACCTCCAAGTGTCTCTACCACCGCCCCAGTTGAGACAAGCGCGAAGCTCCCGACATGTGTGTTAGTGTTGTACGTGTAAGTTTGTCTGTGAATGGTTAATAAAAGAAGATAGGGCGCGTGGTCTGTGGCCCATTGCTTGATATTCACCGGATATAAATCGATCAGAGCAGCCGATCGCTAGAATTATCTTTCAGAAAGCGACTGTATTCGATCTAGTTGTCTAGGTTGTATCGATAATTCGCCACCGACGAGACTCGAATCTTAGGACCTTGGGGATATAGAGAAACGTCGGTGATAATAGTTGTTGCACTTTACCATATCAACTGGATGGCAGTAGGAGATACTTGGAGGGGGAAACCCCCTTGGTCTGCAACGAGGTCGGCAACGGGTCTCACGTTCTAACATTGGAAGAGTACCGCATCCTTCCGGGATATAACATGCACTGCGAACTACACTAACAGGAGAAATTCCAAGCGCTACGAAACACTAAAATAATGTTTCTCTGACATACTCATGTCGTTAGTGCCAAAGCGTGTGCAGTAAGGGGGCGGTACTTAGCTCCGTATTGCCGGGTTCGCTCCCTGACCAATCATTTGGGACCCTAACCGCCGACCTTTGGAGAAAGTCGTGTGAGGGACTTGTTCACAAACCCCCATCTAGAAGACAGTCAGGGTACACGAATCTCACGTCAGGTTTCCTAGATTCCGGAGATACCCACGTCAATATTTACGTCAAAGTGGAAGTAGTGAGGAGACGGATGTTGGTCGGTCTGGGCGGACACCCAGATTTGCTTCTTCGCGGCTGTGCACGAGGGTCGTGAGCAATTGAGTACGGTTTTATCCCGGCGTATTATCAGTTAGACTCCGGTGCAATCTAGTAGCTCTGAACTGGTAGCTTAATTGAGAAGGTGGTGTTCCGGCTATCCGGATACCACCCCGAAAGTGTACTTGTACGCCGGACTGGGGGGGGGGTGCGGATAAAGACCAAAGAGCGTAGATGCGGCCTTTGGGAGCAATCCCCTTGATATAGGTGAGTGTCCGTCTGTCTGTCATGCGCCTACCTTAGCACTTGCCATTTACCAGAGGGAATCCGCGGGGTGGGCACGTACAGTTAGCGTCTCCCCGTACCCCTGCTTCGCGCAAGTACACCAACAGGCTGGATTCTTTGTCCCGTCAGAAACGCAGTTACCCTCCCGGCAACCTGCAGCATTAACTGAAAGCTAATAAAATCAAAGATGTTATGTTATATTACATACGCGGTTTATTGGAAATCGACCTAGCGATTGATGTATAACGTCTCCTTAGATGAGTCATAGTATATGATTGGCCTGTAGGTAGAAGCGGTAATAGGATAGAAAAAGCAATAAACGTTTTGAGATGCACCGCCCTGGTTAGAGCATTTTGTACGTATAGTTAAACACTATTGGTTTTAATATCATGAGTGCAATTGTCGAAAAAAAGCATCTTGTAAAGATAAATAAAGATGAATTTATTCAAACCGCAATTGGGAATAACCCGGTATCAGCTAATTGCATAAGTAAGATAATATCTCAAACATGTAAATTATACAGTAATAATAATACTACTAATAATAATAATAATAACCATTGCTACAGTACTAACAACTATAAGACTAACAATAATAGTAAAATAATACTTATATAAAACTGACTGATTCATAAAACAATAAATAAGGAAACTTCTACAATGTAACTCCGTACTGATTGTTTCTTGAATTAACACCACAATGCACTGGCTCTGCACTGCACTTCACTTCACTACGAACCTTAAATCCTTATTATTCCTTCCTTCATTCTTCCTCTGCTCTACACTACACGACACCTCACTTCACAATATGTCACATATGCTTCTCACAATTACATTCTATTCTTAGTTAAGTCCCTCATGTGGTTAGTAATACCCTAAATTAATTTCCGAAACTGCCGATCGCATGGAGGAAAGGGTTCGTAGGTTTTTGCAGGCAATCTTTTCCATTCTTTCCTCGTCCGATTTGTGAAAGAACGATATTAGAACGTGAATGGTAAGTGTGCCGGTTTGATGCGCGGCAGCGTGCGTGCGAGGGCGTGGGGTGCGCGTCGGCGGGGCGGCGCCGGTCGACCGGGCAGCGGCGCTCCGCCGGGCAGAAGGACGCGGGCGCGCACGTGTGCCCCGAGTGCCACCGCGCCTTCCCGTGGCTCAGCTCGCTCAAGCACCACCTGCGCGGCCACCAGCACGACCGCCTCTTCTCATGCGAGGAGTGCACCTTCGTGGCGCGCCGCTTCTGCGACCTCGTCACGCACCAACGCCTGCACCAGCTGCCCAGGCAGGGGCCTTCACATGCACATTCTGGCACTCACACGCACGCACCAGCGCCCGCACCAGCTGCCCAAGCAGGGGCCTTCACACGCGCAAACAGGCACTCACACGCACGCTCCAGCGCCTGCACCAGCTGCTCAAGAAGTAGCCTTCACACGCACGAACAGGCACTCACACGCACGCTCCAGCTTCCCAGGCAGGAGCCTTCACATGCACAAACAGGCACTCACGCGAACGCACCAGCGCTTGCGCCAGCTGCCCAGGCAGGGGCCTTCACACGCACAAACAGGCACTCACACAAACGCACCAGCGCTTGCACCAGCTGCCCAGGCAGGAGCCTTCACACGCACAAACAGGCACTCACGCGAACGCTCCAGTGCATGCACTAGCTGCCCAGGCACGCGACCATCACGTGCACACTCACATGCACGCAGAGATATTTTCAACCGGGCATTCACACTCACGCACCAGCGTCTGCAACAGCGCTCTCTCTCAAAGTTTTCTTAAAGGAGAAAGCGAAAACCATGTGTGGCATAGTAACATGTGTATATGTATTTACATATTTTTTGATCATTGATATTATTGATATTGATTGATGTTATGATAAAATTTTACTAGAAATTTGAAGTTATTAAATCCTATTTGATTATTCATATTTGTTCATATTTTCCGGAATAACTAGTACACATGTTCATATACAGAGAGAAAAATCACAGGTATTTTCATATTTCAAAATTTTATTTGTAACCTGTTAATATTCTAATTACTATTTCTCATACTGAACAGCGTCATAGGCAACGCAATGCAAAATTAAGATATTCAAAGTGAAATTTCTCATATTCACATTTAAAGCTGTGCTTTATAACTCACTTCTTTGAAATTAAATCTTGTTTTACAGCTAACACTAAAACCAAGTGGTTTGACCGATGTATTTACGGAAGTTAAACATTTAATTATGACAAGATTTTACAATTTTTTTATCTTTATTTACGTTTTTAACCACCTGCACAAACATAAACAACGTTTTTCTGCAAGTCGAATATTGGTATTCGTATTTACCTAGTACAACAGTTGGTTACATATCACAAATAAGAAAATTTGCTGTTCCACAACGCAAGCGTGGATAGCAAACGATTAATAGTGGCCCACTTCCTTGGAGCTTTGCTGTCACATGACGTCAGCTGAATCGTAAGCAGTGACGCACTAAATATGGCAATTCATTCAGTACTCGCAGTGAGCGACACAATTAAATACTTGCAAAGTCAAAACTGTAATTGCTTTGGGTTCTCTTCCAGGTTCCTAGGCATCTTATTTAAGAATCTTGATTAAAGGCGTCAATTTACATGGATTACATAAAAAACTTTTAAATTCATTTCTTAAAAAACATTTTCTTTAAAGGACATTTTAAAGATTTATATAAATCCTAGGTATCCCATAAAATAAATCCTAGGTATATAATAAGAATATAAAATATAGACACATCTGACATAACAGTGAATTCAATAGTTTTCTTTCAATTTCTGGGCTCATTGAGGGTAATAAATATAGATAATTTTATGAAGAAAAAAATTAAAATGTTTAATTACTAATTAGTGATTATTTTACTCCATACTTGTTGTCAATATATGTGTGTATACTTAAATTTATACATAGTGGCGTCTCAAGGCCACGAGCTGCATAAATAGGGGGACACTGTCATCCAATCGGAAGTTTCGTTTCGATTTACATTTTTTGTATTGGAGCTACCGATTGGATGACAAGGTCCCCCTCTCCATTCAGCTCGTGACCTTGAGGCGCCACTATAAATAAAAGTACGTAATGTTTTGTATACCCTTCCCATGAGTAGGGATGCGTTGCCCTTTCCACAGGGACCCCGAGGGCAGCGCGCCCTTCGCCGTAACGCCCAAGACGCCCCGCACGCCGCGCCAGCGCCTGTCGCCGCCCGCCGCGCCCGCCCCGACGAAGACCTCGGCCAAGGCCCCCAGCAGCGACTGCCACGCGCTGCTCAACAGCTACTTCGGCCACCCGCACCCCAACGCAGAGCAACGCAGCTTTCGATGCCCGCAGTGCGGTGCAGTGTTCTCGCTCCTGAGCAAATTGTTCCGACACATTTATAGTTTTCATGGCAACCCTTTGGAGTAGGGGATGCCGGCGGCAACCCGGTGAAATTTTGCAGGTTCACCACAAGGCGGCAATGTTCCTCTCGTTTTTTTATGGAAATTCGTTGTATGGGAGGGGGTGGGTTTTGAGGGTGAATTGAAGAGAACCTGCATCCATATATACCATCTTATGGAGGATATTCAATAAACAGCTTCAAAAGAATGTGATTTTTATTTGAGTATTTTAAACTGCATTTCAACAGCGTTACGTGTAACGTATTGTTAACGGATCTCGCTACAGACAGGATGTCTGACGCCACCGCCTTTGGATTAGGGCTTAGACAGACGGCGTTAGAATGCCGCAAGCGGGCGGGGTTTAGAAAGGCCCGGAACACAGATGTACATTCCAGAAATATTTTGAGAACTTGTCGGAATTGTAGGACCTTGAAGAAATTATGGAAGTCATCTCCGTCAACGAAATAGATTCTTCTCTAAATAAATCTATTAAGTTGACCGATATGACTTCCATTGTTTCAGCATGTAATTACGTCAACTATACCACATCAACATTCCCGTAATTGTAGGAACAAACACCAGCCAGATCTAGTGTCGGATCCGCGTGGCGTCGAAGCAGTCACGCGATGTTGGTTGCCGCACGAAAGTAAGTATCAAGTAAGTATCAATTTACTGAGCTCATCATTTCTTGAATTTCCACCCTAAGTTCGTATCTGAATACTGTTCTGCATAAGTTCGTATCTGCACGCATATTCTTCACTGTTCGCGTCCTACTTCACTTGCCATCTGTGCTACTATTTTTATTACATTCGCGACTAACATTTTTCATCGTAATTATGTTCCGTTTTTACTGTTCGTCTTTATACAGCTCGATGACATATATCCACCCTCTACCACATCGAGGCAAATTCTAATTTAAACTTTTCTCTAATCATTAATCAGTCACGGCCATAGTCCTCTCTATCACATCGAGACGAATTCTGATGATAAATTTTCATTTATCAACCCAAATGTTTCTGCTATTCGCCTGTTCTAATTGTAACTGCCGTAATTCGATGCTAGTTTGTCAATTTTAACTAAGTTATCTGAATTCTCTTGTCTATCGTAACAATGTTGCTTTTATTAAATAACATTTTTTCTTATATTTAAAATATTTATGTGAGCTCATCTTTCTTGCTGTATAATGACGCATTACGTCCCCACTGTCCCATTTCCGTTTATATTTCTTCGTATTTTCCCTTACTTTCTATTTTATTCCGTCATATTTTATATTTTATTACAAAATTCTCTATAGGTATTTTGACCTATTTTGACTATATTGGAGGTGCGTTCATTGATCATATTTCTTTGGGCTAAACGGCTCAATTGCACGGTCATTTGTCATGAAACCACTGTTGTAAATGGTGAGAGTGCAATTTATTACCCAGTTATGGTAGTATGGTGTAAACAATTTGTAAACAGACGCACGTATCTCACGGACGAATTTCTCGAAGGCAGGTCTGCAACGGCTAGTACCTTCGTAAATTTTGATTGTGTGGATGGAATCATTAGAGATAACCGGCGCATAACATTGTAGGAAATTATAAGAATGATGAACACTTCATATGGCAATGTGCTTCCAATTGTTCACAAGTATCTTTGATTTTATAAACTATGTCAAAGATGGGTCCTACATCTGCTCACCGATGTTCTTAAACAACTTGTCAGTGGCATTTTTGGAACGGTATTATGTGAAGGGCAGCGAGTTTCTGCGGCCAATCACAACAGGGGATGAAATGTGGGTCCACCACATCATACCCGTGACAAAGAGAACATCGATGGAACAGGTGAATATCACATCACTACCATTCCGAAAGGAGGCCAAGGACTAATCTTCAGAAGGAAAGGAAATGGCGACAGTGTTCTTCGACACGGCAGGGCACTTGTTGACGCTAACACGTGAACTAGGTTCTGCTGAATAGAACATTGACTCATCAACTCGTATTCGTATTGTCAATACTGAATTGAATCCGTGATGTGCGCGAGTAAACGCAAGTAAAAGAAACCGACGGTGTAATAAAATTGCAAGCACCCAGTGTGTGACAACTTCTCTTACACGATTAACCTCACACGGCCCATACACAACGACCACTATTGGCTTGTTATATACGCACGCGACTTCAAAGTGGAGAGGATGTGGAAACATCCTCCGCACAGTCTCTAATGTAACCACTGCTGATTGTTTTAATAGAAGTCGATAATTTGAATAGAGAATCCTTTTGGTGTGGATGGATGAATCCGAAAACAATGAGGTGTGAAAAGCCACTCTCTCACATGTTAGTTACACACATGGATGTGATTTCTAATAATAATTAATAATAAATACCCACCATAATAATAATATGGTATAATAAATAATAATAGATAAAAGTGAATAATAATAAATAATACATAAGAATAATAATGAAAAAAAAATGCCCTCATTTAATAAATTGGCAGAGGCTCTAGGCCATAGGGCCTGCTCTCCGACCTAACCACTGACATTTACATACACTTATAGTATAATGCTTAACATTTTAAGAGGGGATGACAACGCTGTACATTTACGTCTGGGAGAACAAACCTAGGGACCATCCCTCGAGCATACGCCCTATAGTCGATTGAGTAAAACCCCAGACGCAAAACCTCAAATCAGCTTGATGGCGAGCTCAGGGCTACCGAGACTAATAATTGTTAACTGCAGTTAAGTTGTACATAGTAGTGAAAGGGAAGTTCGTAAAGGAAAAGAAGAGACTGTTCAGGGGAACGGGCTAACTCTAAAATGATAAAATTTTGTGAGGAAGACGGAAGAGGAAAGAAGTGAAAGAAAAGGAGAAGAAGAGTAGGCGAAAAAAAGTGAAGTTATTTGAGGAACGTTAAAGAAAGCTACGTTTAGTTTACGTAGACTTTTTACATAAATATACAATAATTTTAACACCAAAGAGCACAATACACTGTAAGCAATAACAACAGTAATCCTTTAAACACAAATACTGCAGTACTAAGGACAATACAAAGAGTGCTTGTATCTTAACATCAATTGTTTATCCAATATATTGTAGTAAATATCCTGATGGGACAAAGCTCAGCTTTTTATAATTTTAGCTGGAACGTGACTAATTACTTTAGTATATGTTAATAACCCCAATTTCTTATGGTACACGAGAAAAGTAAATGATGCTCAATAATATAGGATGTGAGGAGGAATGAAAGATGAGGAGTAGACAATGAGGTACGGGGTTAGAATATTGAGAAATAAAGAGGGGGAAAGTATAAGTCTTTTAACGGGGGCGTTGACCGGAGCGACTCTAGTTGTATAGTGCAAGAAATACGTCTGTGAGCATTGAAGAAGACGTTGGACGCGTTCAATATTTGCCGTTATTCCTTTACCCAATTGTGTGATCTCATCTCAGCTTTATTTTCTCCTCGAAGTAATTTTAATGCTTTAGTCTGCGCTTAGGTTAATTTATTCCAGGCTCTGAGTTAGCTGTAATGCCTCGTGGAATTGTCTCTTCAACAAGACCTGAGTGAATTCGTGTTTGTGACGTGGACACTAGAAGCTGACCATGTTATTTCACTCTCTCGAGCATCTGATTTATGATTCAGAGGATTGAAGTTACTTATTTGAGGCGTGTTGCCATGAGATAACCGGGTTAAAACATTTTATAAAGGAAGAAGTAGAAGAAGTTGTAACCCGTCTTTTGTTCTAGAGTAAGCAGACGAAATGTCATAGTACAAAAAATATCGGAGATTACATGGTCGTATTTTCGTAGATCAAAAATAAAACGTACGCATGCGTTCTGGGCTACTAGTAGTTTACGTTTGGTAATTTGAATTGTCATGTGGGGTCATAAGCGAGTCGCAATAGTCGAGAATGTGGCGTTTATGATCACTCTTTGGCTATTGTAGAGCTCTCAGTTTCCGTGGTGCTACTGGTAAAAAGTGCTCGCAGGCTTTCAGTGAGTGCATTGAAGCAAATTCTTTTACGGCAGGTTGAATCTACGTGTTGAGTCCAGCTGAGGGTGCGTTTAGTACACTGAGAATAACTACATCCTTCTCTCGAGACTTTGAGAACACAATGGTAATATTTTGAGTGTCATTTATATATATATTAGGCATAAGAGAGAAGATGAGATTTTAATTCATAGAAAAAAGCTGCATTTCAGAGGCTAGAAGCAATATCCAATCACTGTATTTTGTTTTTAGTTGGGAATATTTTAATTGTGATAAGCCCAAAGGACGCTGCCCAGTATGTTTTAACCGCTATTAAATCGATTCATTTTTTTTATGTAACAGACGTGAAACGAGGGTGTAGGTAAGCTGCTCGACCATTAGAATATATCTGGGAGTATATCATGCTCCGCAACATACCATTTGGGGGACTTGCAATATTTTAATGTTGACTATTTTTCCACGTCATTTACATAGATTAAAGAAGGCCTCAGTTGACCCTAACACAGTGACTTGAAGCAACCCGCGGTTAAGTTTCAAGTCCCTTGAAGCTACGGCTTACTCGGAACACCCTCTTTGGGATTCTAGAAGTTAAATAATTTAAGAAAACCATTTACACGTGGGCTTCTACGCATCTAGCGATTTTCTACGCATCCGGAATCGAAATGTTGCTTGAATGTTTCGAGAAATGTTTACAGTCTCTTCGATACTATGTGGAAAAGTGAACTTACATTTCATGTAGCATAGTCGTGTAGCCTATGTGCAGGTGGTTTCATAAATGCCATTACTCGGAAGTGAAACTAGCTTTCTTATTCGCCATAGTACACAAAATATATGATTTTTTTCATTCAAATTGGGAATGTTCATGAGAATGGTTTTCCTGAACGAATGCAAAATGCGCTGCGAATGAAAGAAAAGTGAAAAACCACTCATGAAAGAAGATCGCATGAAATTTTATCACCAGATAGTTCAAGGCGACCGAGCGAAGTGACTCAGTGCGTAGCATGCTGACTTCGCTCTCGGGATGTCTGGGTTCGATCCCCGGAGACGGCTGTCTTG